CACACAAATGTCACACCATAGGCTTGCCCATATTTTCAATCAACATTGACTCAACTCCATTTGGTTAGAAATCTCAAAGGACTTTGTTAAGCTTGTAATATAGGTTTAGGGACGGTTAGGATATCATTTTGGTGTAAGTGACTACACCTTCCTTGAACACTACACAACAATTCATTATTTCCAACTTTATCCGCTTTTCTTCACTTTTCAAACCCATGCACATTCCACACTATTTTTCATTTTCCTTTTCTTATTTCCACTCTAGATGTCCAACATGCAACCATTTTCAACTTTTGAAAGATTCAAGTCTCATTTATTCATTTTCTTTCTTAAGTCTTTCCATCCATCCCTCAATTTCTCTTTTTTTTTCGTTTTTTATATCATGTCCTCATGTAGTAAGCTTCCCTTCAATGAATTTCTCATAACACCCCCAACTTAGGCTTTTAGACTCAACTTTCACAATCTCAAGTTCAAGGAGGGAAGGTTTCTAAAGAGGGTTACTTTTTCAAAAAAGGATAAGGCTTGTAATGTGGTTGCCATTACTAAAAGGGGACAACTAAGGATATGTTTAGTGCAAAAGGTGGGATTTTTAGGCCAAGTGGACTTCAAGAACATCAAAGAAAGCCTAAGATCATTTCTCCAACCAAACTCAATCAAGAACAACATTTCAAGACCAATCGGGCAAGTTCTAGGTGACAAAAGCAAACACAAGGCATTATTCAACAACTCACAACACATGGCCTGCAAATCAATCAAGATGGTTCAAAATCTTACTTCCTTATCAAAATACAAGTAGCACTAAACATTTTAACCGCTAAAGAATAAAAAGTCACAAAAAGAGTTGTCACAAAATCATTCATAACATGCTCAACCTTTTAAAAACGAAGAGGTATGCTCAACACGATTCACATGCATGACTATGCTCTTAGTTCCAACCAAGTCAAAACCTTACAAAAAAGATGAGGATTTTGTCCTCATGAAAGTCGTCAACCAATCCATCATCAGGCAACCTCATGCATCTATTCGGGAACAACTACTCAGACTTTGCCACAATCAAACACTCAGAAGTTGACGATTTACCCTTAAGAAAGTAGTCACCCTATAGCCATCATCGGGCATCGTCAATCCAAATCTTATTATCAAAACAAAAGCAAAGAATCTATAAAGTACAAATCAAAAACTAAAATAAACCAATCCAACACAATATCAACAGAAACATCCACAATATCAAATCTCGACAAGGGCACACCAATCCATGACAAAGAAAGAAAAATACGCCCGACAAGGGCACAATCACTATATGCAGAAACAATCAACAAAATGACTACAAGGGATGCCCCAACTAAAAATGAGATTGTGTTCTCACAATTTAGATATCAAAAGAGAATATGAGGGACTCCCTAAACTGCGTCACTCTGAGCTCGAGCTGCTTCTACATGTCGGTCCCAACCTTATAGAGGTCACTCTCTCCATCGCGTCACTCTGAGCTCGAGCAGCTTCTACATGTCGGTCCCAACCTTATAGAGGTCACTCTCTCTATCGTCTAAAGGATCACTGATGACCTCAACCGGCAGCCGCCGATTTAATCTCTGAGCTGTGGTTCTTCCAAAAATCAATGGCTCGCATTTACAGTCGTCCCTGAATTTCTTAAAATCAATGCAGACCTGCAAAAATCAGGAGGTCCTGCAGCCTATGTTAAACCATAAGCTTGTGAATAGAAGGAATAAAAATGGTGAAGTCCTCTCCAAGAGCATGACCTAGGCAACGAAGTGCATCAATAGCAGCTTTCTTGAGCTCTTCTTTGTTCCTGTGAATGGAAGGGAGCACCAAGAATTTATCAACACAAACTTGAAGAAAGTATTGCAGAAATCACATAGTACAAAGCTTTTATCAGGTACAAAAACTCAAAATTCAATCTGCTTTAGAATTAAAAAAGAAAGGATAAGATAAAATCAACTGAGTTTTTGAAAACAGCAGTAGTAGAATCGTCTAGCAATTGTTCATGACATAAGGAAAGGAATTGCATTTCAAAAATGAAGTTTGGACAGACATGAGAAAAACACTTGCAATATTGACTGAAATTGAAACACTAATATAATGATTTAAATTTTAATGTTTGCTTCACAATTTTCCAGCCATTTGTGTCAAATTACTAGATGACTTTCAGTAAAAGGAAGCAGAAGTCGCAATTAGTATACATTCCAAGGTAATAAATCAGAGTTCAAGGTTCACTTCTATATAAGTGTGTGTGAGTGTAGATACATATGGGTTGGAGTTTGATATCTGAGAGTGTACTCACTAGAGTCAACATCAAAACCCACAAACAATAGATCTTTGTCATTTCATTTGTTATCTATTGATTCGAAGAAAATAAGTCTCATATACTATCAGTGATATTAATGTGAAGGAGAAAAATCAGACCCGTCCAAGACAAGCTTCCAGTGATGCACAAGCCAAGATATGTGTCCAGTAACCTGCAAAATGGAAATGAAGAGAAAAGGAAAAGAGTTTAGGAAAACAAGCAATCATATGGAAACAATGAAACTTAGAAGCATTCCCTTAGTCCCTTTTACATCAACCTGCACACAAGGTATCAGTCTTGTAAGAGTTTTGATTGCACCACGTCTTACTTCTACTGAAGCGTCCACTTTAAACAACCGAATAAGTGCAGGAAAAAGAAGATCCATATGCTCATCTAATGTCCCTGCACATTAAGGTGAGACCACTACCTTATCAAAGTGATACTAACCAAGGCATGGACCACAGAAACAACCAAGGAAGACTAACCACCAAAAACTTCAAGGGTGTGGAGAATAGAAATTACATATGTGTAGTCATTAAACCTCTCCGCATCAGTAAGAACTTGAATACAACAGGGAAGTATATCAGGAAGATACTTTCTGACTTCATCGTTGAGTGCCAAACAAAGTTGCTGCACGAGATGCAGAATCTAAAATAGGAAAAGAAAACGACCAGTAAGATCATTAACCAAAGCATATGATTATAATGACCTACACCAAAAGTATGTGCAGTATATTTGTCACGACCCAAGCCTAGGGCCTAGACGTGACCGGCGAATGGGGAACCCGAAGGAACCCCAAACAAGCCTCATAGCGTATCATTACACATCCTTGGTCGCAGAAGCAATTAAATGACCATGAGAAATAAGCATAATCAAAGGGGGGGAATCGGGACTAAGGGAGCAAGAGATAAAAAAGGAAGAAATGATACATAAATACCATAGATGAGTCAAACTCAAGCATAATACACAACTTGTCCAACACCACATCTAAACATGAGTACTTAGTGGGGGCCAAGACAAACTACCGGGCTCACCCTCATAGTCAAAACATAACTAAAAAGAAAAAAAAAGTCTTATACATAGCAAAAGATCATGAGCAACGTCCCCGGAATGGAGGACTCACCAATAACCTTGATAGAAAATCGTATTAGCCACGCGAAGGAGGATGGTCAAGCGGTGCTCCGGTCCCTACATGGTGACATCATGTAGGCATAGAGTATGCGTTAGTACATTTGAATGTACTAAGTATATGGGATGCAATGCAATGCTACAATAGATGGACATCATAGGAAAATGCATAATAATACCCGTTAGATAGCACATTAATGAAACGATATATATATAATGACGCTTACATAAAAATCATATTTAGTGGGACGTAGCACAAGTGTGGTGAGTGACCATCAATATAGTATTTCCAAGGCCTACCACCCCCTTGGAGAGGCGAAAGAGGTACAAACCCCTCAATGTGGTTACCCGGGCCTACCACCCCCCGAGCTAGGGACCAAGGTACAAACCCCTCGATATGGTTATACGGGCCTACTACCCCCCGTACTAGGCTTGGTCGACTCACAACACGTATATAGAGAAAATCATATACATGTGTCCATTTCATCATCATTTCAATAATTATATAACCATTCGATTCATAAGACGTACATTGGACCTTCCATTTCCTAAGAATACTATAAATGGCATTTTATCAAACA